CCCCCCCCACGTTATCAACAGCTGGGCGGATGGATGAGCTGTGTGTTCTGGATGTTCGCTGTTGTCGTAGGCGTGGCCCACCTGTACAGAGAGAGGACCCAGACAAGGTGCTCTGGAACTCCTAAGGACACCCCTCTCATCCCGGAGAAAACTCCTCCCGACACCACTGAAGGCACGCCCTCTACCTGGTCCACCGACGTGGCTTGTGTTTAGATAACGAGTGTGCTTTTTAAGAGGTCGACGACGACGAGAGGGGCCCAGAGGTTCAACGGAACTGTTCTTTATTTTCCTGCGTAAGCTGTTTGTTAAAAAAATGTGTTAATGCGCCACCATATTTATCAAATCTGTTAAAACAGTACTTTCCAAGGTCATCGGTTGACGAATAGAAATTTCATTTACCATCTATGATACTTTAAACAATGGGTGAAAGGATATTTGAATATCAAGGCCTCACGATCTGGAATGATTTGCCAGGTAGTTTAAGAGAGATCAAATCTTTTAATCATTCAACTGTCAGCTGAAGTCATTTCTCTGTTTTTAAATTGATGAAACAACCCCATGTTTAAGTTTAATGAGAGATTTGATTTTTAACAGAACAGAATGCACTGTTGTATTGTAACGCGCTCAGAGCCTGTGTGCGTTAATCGGGAATAAATGTCATTTATTATTATTATTATTATTATTATTATTATTATTATTATTATTAATCATTGCAACTTTTGCACGTCTTCTTTGACACAAGAAAATCCATTATTCGGTGATCGGTTACTCCAACATCTCAGCAGAAAGACGAGAAGAGATACTTGAAAACATACGACATAATATGTAGTTTTTTTCGGGCGTGAATTTAACCCGGGGGTGGGGAGCTCAATCATTACACCAAAGACGCTGATTTTGTATGACCCTAATGACTTATGATTACGGTGCCATTATCTGTCATTCCTTTAATGAAAGTGTCTGAATATGTCAGTCATTTTTTCCCCTTGGTTTTTCGTTCACCCACTATAGTGCCACAATACTTTATATGACGTTCTCGGAGTTAAAGAGTTTTATTATCATACATAAAAAAAATATCTTTTGTTGTATGTTTATAAAAAAAATTATTTGAGCGGGGATATGCGCTATACAAATGCTTTCTATCTATTATTATTATTATTTTTCACTTTTAGTACAGGTATGCAAAACTGTGCGTGAAAGATAATTATCTTACCTAATTCATTTGAAAAACAGTACTTTCCTTTTTGAAAGTGTCTGGATGTTATGTCAGTCATTTCCCCCCTCTGTTTCTCTTTTATCCATCGGTGCCATTATGTGTTGAGACTAAGAGTTTCATACTATTGTCATTTTAAAAAAATTTAATATCCTTAGAGGTGTATATGAAAACAGATTTATTTGTTCAACTTTTAGAATGCAAAACTGCTTGTAAAAGATACTCATTATCGAATTCATTTGAAAAAAAAAATCGATGTAATTATTACATTATTCAGAACACAGCATTGTTTCTAAAGCAAGTATTTTAAGTAGATCTACCACGATTTCATAGAAATTTTTCATTTTGACGTTGTCGGAGACTTGTGTTACCGTCAAGTGAATGCTGTAAAATCGAGAGAAGTGATTTAAGTTTAGGTCTTTTTCACCGATGAATTGGTCTGTCTTTTTCGCTTGGAATTTTACAGCATTATAATGTGAGTTGAATAGATCAAAAAATAAACACTGTCAAGCACATTGTGTGTAGTTGGACTTACATTGATGCACAAAAAGCATTTGAAAACTCATCTTCGTTCATAAGATTATAATAAATACCATTTTTGTCATTTAAATGGAACAAAACAGAACCAGACAGAGAACCCCACATCCCTCAAGACTAAACATTTTATTTACAGCCCAATCGTCACAATTTGTGTCATGGCCGTGACGAGGTGGAATTCCGCGCTTGTCAATTTTCGGGCATGTGGAGCTATTTGTATTATAAGGCTTGATCATTTCTACAAGTACAAGAGAGTAGCAAACACACAAAAAAGGAGGAGGAGAGATAAGGACGATAGATGTTCAAAAGAAGGAGAGATAAGGACGATAGATGTTCAAAGGGAGGAGAGATAAGGACGATAGATGTTCAAAAGGAGGAGAGATAAGGACGATAGATGTTCAAAAGGTGGAGAGATAAGGACGATAGATGTTCAAAAGGAGGAGAAATAAGGACGATAGGTGTTCAAAAGGAGGAGAGATAAGGACGATAGATATTCAAAAGGAGGAGAGAAAAAGACGATAGATGTTCAAAAGGAGGAGAGATAAGGACGATAGATGTTCAAAAGGAGGAGAGATAAGGACGATAGATGTTCAAAAGGAGGGATAGATAAGGACGATAGATGTTCAAAAGGAGGAGAGAAAAGGACGATAGATGTTCAAAAGGAGGGATAGATAAGGACGATAGATGTTCAAAAGGAGGAGAGATAAGGACGATAGATGTTCAAAAGGAAGAGAGATAAGGACGATAGATGTTCAAAAGAAGGAGAGATAAGAACGATAGATGTTCAAAAGGAGGACAGATAAGGACGATAGATGTTCAAAAGGAGGAGAGATAAGGACGATAGATGTTCAAAAGGAGGAGAGATAAGGACGATAGATGTTTAAAAGGAGGGAGATAAGGACGATAGATGTTCAAAAGGTGGAGAGATAAGGACGATAGATGTTCAAAAGGAGGGAGAGATAAGGACGATAGATGTTCGAAAGGAGGGAGAGATAAGGACGATAGATGTTCAAAAGGAGGGAGAGATAAGGACGATAGATGTTCAAAAGGAGGGAGAGATAAGGACGATAGATGTTCAAAAGGAGGGAGAGATAAGGACGATAGATGTTCAAAAGGAGGGAGAGATAAGGACGATAGATGTTCAAAAGGAGGGAGAGATAAGGACGATAGATGTTCAAAAAGGAGGAGAGATAAGGACGATAGATGTTCAAAAGGAGGAGAGATAAGGACGATAGATGTTCAAAAGGAGGGAGAGATAAGGACGATAGATGTTCAAAAGGAGGAGAGATAAGGACGATAGATGTTCAAAAGGAGGGAGAGATAAGGACGATAGATGTTCAAAAGGAGGGAGAGATAAGGACGATAGATGTTCAAAAGGAGGAGAGATAAGAACGATAGATGTTCAAAGAACGAGCAAACCACCCACTCTTTGTCTTGTCAACACCCAGACAAAATAAAACCCAAAGAGAAGTTTCTTTCTTTCAATATACATGATGTATTTATTAAAAAAATTAGATATATATGCAAGACAAGTCACTTTGTGATGTAGTAGATGATCATAGCATATGATGAAGTAGTATTAGTACTAATTGAAACATGATAAAACCTACACTTACACAGTCCATCAGATTGAACACACTCTCGCTCCTTCTCTCAGTCTCTCTGAAACACGCCAAAAGGAAAATCCACAAACATGCTGGTGAGCATTTAGAAAATGCAATGAAACAACGTCCCAATGGTTGCAAACAATGATCACCACAGCAAAACTGACAGACCTTGTCACACAAACAAACTTGCACCTACTTATGTCACTGCTCAATCGTACAACCAATTCGGGCTATATCGACTGCTCAGTTCTAAAGAGTAAGACTTCGTCACACTTTTTTAATTTGAAAAGTGACACATGACAGAATATATCTTACACCAAGCAGTTGATATGAATTTTTGCTGAGAATTAGCTTATAACTAATAACTTTGGTTTTGGGAAAATTCCCTTAAATCCTTTAATGAAGTCTTTTGCAGTGAAGTGATATTGGTTGTAATGAAACAAAAATATGATCCCAGCAAGTCCACTGTAAGTGGGGACTATATTGTACACAGCATTGGACCAAAAGGCAAAATTGGCACACATTGCTGAATCACTACAACAAGGCGCCATTCATGGACACAATCTAGTACGCAATTGCTTACTGCGCACAAACCCTCAACTGCTTTCAAACATGACAAACGTCCACACAGGAAAGTTTTCTTGCTGATGTCAAATCTTCAGTTGAGTTGTATTGACAGTTTCAAAAAAAGAATAGATGCCAAAAATAAATCTTTACATTCAAATTTCACTTTATTTTGCTATTAAATTCTCATTTACCTCAGTCTCAGCAAGACAAAGCGAGAGAGCAATGTAAAAAAACAAAAAACAGCAAAAAAACCCCAAACCAAACAAACCAAAAAACTCATGTGTCACGATGCGGTGGAATCAGGCGCTCGTCAATTTTGGGGCATTTGGAGTTATTGCTATCATCTTAAAGCCTGTTCATTTGTCTTGCTTTTGGTGAAAGAAATATATCCATCTATATTGAATAAAAGTCGAAATATTTGAGATTTAAGGGGGTCAGGGTCCCCTGGTTTCATAGGTGAAAATGGCCGTCAAAGTTTGGCAATTTCTGTAGTTAAGAGTCATTGGAAACTGAAAATTGACATTTTTTAGTGTCTTTAATCGGTTTTTCAGTAAAATTCACACAGGAATGTGTTTTTATACAAGGATATAAAAGGTGTTGAGCCAAAAAAGGAAAACTAGAAAAAAATTGTCTAACGGTCGGAAAAAATGCCAATTTCTTTGACTTCACGATTTTGATGAGCCCCTGATTTCACCACGATGCCTCACATATATTCATTTTTTCATCTTTTGTGTCAATTACCACCATTCTCCATAAGGATAAAACAACATAATGACACTACTGATATCAAGACTATGTAAAAATAAATTTAAAAAAACAACAGGACTGGAACATCAAACAAATATGGAATGTGGAAAATTTCTGTTGTAGGCTTCTGGTGGAATGTGGAATTCATGCAACAATAAGATTTACATGATAAATGTTGAACCGGTCGCAACAACATGTGAATCTATTGAAAAAATCTTAAATTTTTCATATATATGCTTGCTTTATACCTATAAGATTTCAGCAATGATGATATGAACCTTTTCATATTGCATTGTATAATGTTCTCTGTTTCCTGTAATGTCCAGCTTCCAGGGCTGCTGTCTGAGATTCAAAATACACTTCACAATAGTCTAGCACATACAAAGCAAATAAAATATCAGGTTCGCAGTCTTTTCTTAAAAGTGTGTTCGCTCTTAAAACACACAGGAAATGAAAAGAAAAGATTTTCGCGTCCTGCTGAATTTACTATAACGTGGTAGACTGTATTCCTGAGGGCCAATATACACTTCCACAACATTTCTGAAAGGAAGGTGACTGTTAGCGGACAGTAAATGTTTTATGTCCCCACCATCACAATTTAAATTATTTAGGAGATTGGCTACTCTGATTCTGCCCGTCAGGACCAACCCGGGCAGACTGATATACATCCAGTCTGAAAAAAAAAAAATCCCGGCTGAAAGACGAGGAGGTCCACAATAAAATAGATGTTCCAATACGGGTATCGAACTCACGTTTTTTGAGAGTTACAACAACAAATAGCCTAATCATCACACCACAAACATACCAGTGAAAAAAGACAGGAAAAATACTAATTGCATATACAGCTTACTACCCATTACGCTATCTGGCGTTTAGGGCAGCAACAAAGGATCTCCAGCTCTGTCTCTTTTGCGCCATCTTGGTCAGCGTTCCCCACGAATGATTCCAGGACTTCATTTCAGAAATTGCATATACAGTGAAGAATATAATGTAATTAAACAGTGTCACTGATTTGACACCTCAGCAAACAAGTTACATTTTGAAGAAAGCAATTTTGACTCAGATGGCGCAGCTACTACTATACACAGGCACTCTCTCATGAATACATAAACCACACTGTACCAGAAATCTGACTTGCCTTTTCTACCACAGAGAAAAAGGAACACGAAAATCCGCTTTTCGCAGAGCTATGAACTCAAGATAAAACCAATTCTAAAAAAAAATTTAAAAATTATGTTCCATACTTTTAGTGTTCTTGGAAGGGGTTGCTTTTTTTTTTAGTCAACATTTCAACACAGAACAAAAACACCAAAATAAAAACTAGTAGTATCAGTTCGATCAACAACGGCAGTACCATGGTTCTGTGTAATGTGACACACCGCTATACTCTTGAAGCATCTCATGCCATTATTTAAAGCAGTGACTTGTGACCTCAGGAAGTCTACGTTAAATCTTGAAAAAAAAATGACAAGTTTTTGAAATTCTTGGCTCAAGAATACAGGGTGGCAGTTATCTCCAACTTGTTATCCTCACTTTCAAAGAAATTTAACATCTCTTTAAAGAAACACAAATCACCACTGATGTAATCATGATGAGATGCAAGACGATACAGGTGCAAATATAAATGTCTTCCAACTTTCAATTCAGTTCAAAACTTAAAAAGATGGATCAGTCACTTCAGATATTTTAGACAGACAAGTGCACAACCACTCCTCTATGCACACACACACATATTATGTACAGTAAAAAAATCAGGATTATTAATTATTTCATAGCAGCAGGATATAAACAGGAACGATGGCCACATTTCATCTAAAACAGAAATTGTACACTACACGATGGTTCACTCCTCTATTTCAAAATTGTAACTGTGAATGTTTTATGTTCTTATTGACACAATTTAGATAATATAGGAGGCAGGCACACCCAGGCTGGAGGGATATGTCGTCCCAGCATACAGACCCAGATTTGACATACCAAATAATCTTCCAGCACACTGGTGGCAACGTCTTAGAACTTCACTTTGGATACTATTTTTAGGGAATGATGTGTGGGTGGTGGGTGCGTGCTCTGGTGTGGTTTGGTCCTTCTTTCTTATAAAACATCTATTGCACTCATCTCTCCTCCTCCTTTTCTTTGAATGTTACTGTTGAGGAACATTTTTATTCTTCGTCACTTGCATGATCTACTATTTATGTTGCAAGTGCTGTAAAAGTCTTACTAAAACTAAAAAGGGAATAATGTGCTTTGAAAAAAAGTTGTGAGAAATGATTGTTCTAAAAGAACTACTTGAGAAACAAAACAAAACACTTTTATTTAAGCCGGTAATGACATCTGTCAAAATTTACTTTGGTTTTCTTTTCATAGAGTGAACCAACTTGTAACATACTATCTCCAGTATAAAAAATCATCTAAAACTATAGTTGAAAAACTGTTTTGCATTTAGAACAGTGAATCATGTACAATGGAGGTGATCCATGATAATTACAATGACAACAAAGGAATGTACAAGTGGGGGTAAACAAGGTAAACAGTCTACCAGCCAAAGCTACGATGTACGTAAGCAAATTGCAAACCGGAATCCACTCTCTCAGAAATAGTCCTCCTCTCAAATATTTTGTCAAACTGACCAAGCAAGAAGCTGTCTTAACAGTTGAAACCAGCAAGAATTAAAAACAAAAGACCTGACAAACAATAGATGAAAGCACAAAAAAACCCCCAACAACCCAACTCCTGGGCAGTTGAAAAATGTAAAACCCAATAATACGCTCTAATAGTAAATGATTTTCCGACTTATAAAGTTCATACAAAATTCCCTGAAACTACACTACCACAGTAAAAATGGACTTTGGTGGTCTACAGGTTTGTTTCTAGTAAAATCCCGAGTACCTCACAGAAGTAAATCTTGTAAAGCTTCCAAAGAAATACAACTCAAATATTTACCCCGTCCAAAAAAAAATATTTGTCTAAATTTCATACTTAAAAACCAAAACAAGTTAATTTGAACCCCCCCCCCCCCCCCCCCCGCTTCTCCTTCAATTCCCAAATGATGTAAGGAACGGTTGCTGTGGCGACAGTCGTCGGTAAGATCAGTGTTGTCCCCCGCGCTGTAACAGCCAGACTGAGATGAGCATGATGAGGGTGGCCAGGTTAAAGGACAGACTGGACGCCGAACTGATGATCTGTCCATTCCTGGTGGGCGTGGCCACGTTAGAGGCTGCAAGACAAAACAGCAAAGGTCAAAGGTGAGCGGAAGAAGAGAGAGAGAGAGAGAGAGAGAGAGAGAGAGACTGTCTGTGTATGTGTGTGTTTAGTTCAAAGTAGAAATTCACACATCCTTTAAGTTACACTCGTGTAATTTCAGAGTCAACTGTCTATAAAACGAGTTCGAATCAAGGAAAGACACACTCATTATTTTTCAACCAAATGAAATACAACGTTCTCCGCCGCATAATCCATCCTGTTGAAGAGCCCACTTCTCCCATGTACCAGGTTTTCCCCCCTCCATAATTTGCATGCCAATGAATTTGTGAGGGGTGCTGACAAAATGAAATAACTCTTGGATTTTAACTCTACACGTCAAATTGCTAGGTCGAGTATGAACATCATATTAATAGGAATTGATAAAAGTAAAAGACACATTTAATTCTAGCCTTCTCGCATAAGGGCGAAAAATCTTGGAGGTTCAGTGCGCAAGCTGCGCATTTTTAACAGATCTCTTGGAGGTCCAAAATCGATAAGAGTAGGCTTCGGCTTCCATGCGAGCAAAATTCAAAACTAATTCCTACCGAATTAAAACTGTTTAATGTGCACCGCACGCTCATATGGGCTTATGCGGTTGCGAGCGCCGTAAAATGCTTACCAACCCCCCCCCCAACTTGTCTGTCGCTGACAGATCCTACCATAAAGGACACAAGAGACACCTGGATCAGATACTTACAGACCAACTCTAGGACGGTGTACTGGGAGCCTAATGAGTTACTGGCGGCACACCGGTAGCTCCCGAAGTCTTCCTGATGCACGCCTTTGATCTCTAGGATGCTTGTAATGCGGTTGTACGCCCCGGGAATGTTACGTATCTGAAATCTGGAAAAGCAGGCGAGATAAAGAAACTGTTACAGAGTAGTGGTTTTTGCAAAAATAGAAAACACTTACCATACATAAATCTTACTAACAAAGAAAACTAAAATATCATTTTCTTTTACAAGCAGGAAGACAGGACACACACACAGAGAGAGAGAGAGAGAGAGAGAGAGAGAGAGAGAGAGAGAGAGAGAGAGAGAGAGAGAGAGAGAG